TCAGAAAAACTATTTTTTATTTATAAAAAAATCATATTTACTCAAAAAGAATTAAAAATATGATTTATGTAAACAAATTGACAAAATTAAATTGATCTGTTTCGAGGTTTTCATTAAAATCTCTGTTCAGGGGGATGAACAACAAATTTGAAATTGTTATAACTTTCTTATTAAAAAATAAAAAATATATCTATTTCTCTGAAAAGAAAGGTAACATTTTTTAGAGTAGATCGAAAAAAAAAAAATTACAAAATTCATTCATTTTTCTGCTTGATTTTTTTAAATTTCTGAAATCTTCCCTTAACTTCTAGCCTCCCTAACTCTGCTAATTTTAATAGTACGAGAAAAAGTGAAGATGCCATTTTTATGTAGACTTGTATGCTTTACAACTTTTATACGAAACTTTTTTTTCTAACCCTTACCCGTTTTAAGTTATCTTGAAAAACCCCTTTGTTTTATCTCTTTCCACCCTTGGTCGGGGGTTGAACAAAAAATTACTGTCACTTATTGTTATAATATACCTCTAACTCATATCAAAAATTCAGGCAAGTTGACCAAAATTTCGATTTAAAGGCTTATTTAATTGGACTATTTTGACAAAAATAAAACAAGTAAAACATGATAAACGATACATCATCGCAATAAGAAAAATGCGTTGAATTTAACAATGCGAAAATCCAATATGTCACCCATAAAAAAGTTGTTCCTCTTTACGTTTTCAATTAAAAATAAATTAAAATCAAAATTTTTAAGTTTTTAACCTTTAAAACGAAAAGGATAAATCAAATTTCTCTTCGGCATGTTATTTGTCATCAAATTCTGTAATTTTGATCTAATGTGACTGACCGTGTATCTCTAAAGTTAGTTGAGATCTCAGTGGAGTGGCTCAAAAAACGGACACCCTGTATNAAGTTGTTCCTCTTTCCGTTTTCAATTAAAAATAAATTAAAATCAAAATTTTTAAGTTTTTGACCTTTAAAACGAAAAGGATAAATCAAATTTCTCTTCGGCATGTTATTTGTCATCAAATTCTGTAATTTTGATCTAATGTGACTGACCGTGTATCTCTTAAGTTAGTTGAGATCTCAGTGGAGTGGCTCAAAAAACAGACACCCTGTATATTAAAATATAAATATAATGAAAATAGAGTAAGTATGAATAATATATTAAAACGCATAAATTACTTACTTTATAAATTGTAGGCAAGTTTCCTCCTCCGATATGTACCCTGTGTGAAATTGCATTTGGCAAATTTTAATTCCCATTGCCTTTCCCTGCGTCATGACTCCCCCTAAAATATTTCTGGCGTGATAAACTACTATACAAACATCTCCACAGACCATGGTGTTGACTGGTAGAAGACACTACAATAAATAAAAAAACAAACACTTACAGAAATACTGAATAACTATTAAAAAAATATATGTTTTTTGAAAAACAATATCCATCGTACCTTTCCCTCGACTATATTGTACAATCTCATGCGTTCGTAATCCTGTAAAGTGGACAAAACACATCTATTTTCGCTAAACACCTCCAAGTAAGGGCGACATCCGTCACTGAAATTCACACAAACGTAAATTCATTCCGTTTTACTGCTTTAGAGAAGGTACTATACCGAATTTTCGTAAACAATGGCACAGGTTGCAGCTGCAGCGAGACTAGAGTCACGGGCTTGTAATGCGGGTACAACGGGGGATCCCTGACGATGTCAGCCAAATAATAGAGGTACCTAAGCTCGGAAGGCCGCATATTAGGTGGGCATCGTTTCACGGCGAACATCTGAAGGGCGTCCTCGGGAACTTCGAACAGTCCGGCGTATATGAGCAAACCACACACCAACGTAGAGGACGTTGCTTTTCCATCCTTAAAATATTTTTTAGGTAAAAGTTTGTTTTCTCGCAAACAGCTAATCTAATTTTGAAAATCCTTTATTTTTGGGTTATATTTATTTCACAGTAGTGACGCTAAGATATAGAAAGTTTTAGAGAAATTTCAGTTTTTCGCATACACTAGGTGGAATAATAATGTATTTTCTCAACAATTGCTTATTTAATTTGCCATTAAGACTTTTTTTCTTGTAGTTTTCCTCAAGAAGAAATTTTATAGTATCTGTTTCCTAATAATGCTTTTAGATCCAATAGTGAAAATAAAAAAATTTTTTAATGGAAAATTCTTATACAGGGTGAGTCAGTTTTTTGTAGACAAACTTTAACATGACATAGAACACATGTTTTTAAAAAGAAAAGTTCCTATTTACATATGTCGTAGAAGGCTTCGTTTCCGAGATACGGGGTGTTGAATATAATTTTTTTTCTCGAATATTCATTATAACTTATAAACGAATGCTTAGATTTTTTTCATGTTTGGGAGATAATGCCTATTAATTAAGGGGCATAAAATAAGCGATAAAAATGTTCAAAAACTTGCACAGTGGGGGGAGTGGAGGGGGTGCTCAACCCCTTTCTTAAATAGAACTTTTACGCCAATGACTGTTTTTTTAAAAAACTGCTATTTTCATTATCTACATATAGTTTAACAAAAATAATGTCCTTTCTTCTGTCTAAATTCCTGTGCGTTTCCGAGTTATTTTGATTTTTAGTGTTTGTCGTGGTACTAAATTAAGTAATTTATTTATTGTCAATTATGGGCTAAATATTTAATTCTTTCAACGAAACCTACCGAAATATGGTTTGTTAAGGATTCTAAAAAGCCGAAATCTCTTTTTCTTTATCTCTTTCCAATGTAGTCAAAATAAATGTTTGTTATATCAAGCCATACTCAAATACAAGACTTTTATAAGTTGAAATCTGTTTAGTACACTAATTTTAACAATCCTTATTTATTATGTGCTGCGTAAATACTAATGTACTGCAACTAAATTACTAAAAAAAACATTGAATGAACATTGATGTTAATGTTTATGGAGAAATTTTAGAAAAGAACTTATAAGAGTCTTGTATTTGAGTATAGCTTGATATAACAAATATTTATTTTGACTACATTGGAAAGAGATAAAGAATAAGAGATGTCGGCTTTTTAAAATCCTTAACAAACCATATTTAGGTAGGTTTCGTTGAAAGAATTAAATATTTAGCCGATAATTGACAATAAATAAATTACTTAATTTAGTACCACGACAAACATTAAAAATCAAAATAACTCGGAAACGCACAGGAATTTCGAGACAGAAGAATGGACATTATTTTTGTTAAACTATATGTAGATAATGAAAATAACAATTCTTTTACAAAATAGTCATTGGCGTAGAAGTTCTATTTAAGAAAGGGGTTAAGCACCCACTTCACTCCGCCAATGTGCAAGTTTTTGAACATTTTTATCGCTTGTTTTATGCCCCTTAATTAAGAGGCATTATCTCCCAAACATGAAAAAAATCTAAGCATTTGTTTATAAGTTACAATGAATATTCGAGAAAAAAAATTATATTCAACACCCCGTATCTTGGAAACGAAGCCTTCTACGACATATGTAAATAGGAACTTTTCTTTTTAAAAACATGTGTTCTATGTCCTGTTAAAGTTTGTCTACAAAAAACTGACTCACCCTGTATATTTGGAGAAAACGCACATTCTGTAATAGTGATAAATAGTCCAGAATTCTAACAAAAGAGGAAATTGAGAGATCTTTGCAAGAATAAGCACCTGATAATAGATTTTTACTAGAAAAGGTAATTCAAATTAATTTAATTTAATTAAGAATTTTCTGCTGTATTTCCCATATTAGACCAGGCGGGATCTGTTTTGGTGTGGATGTTTTATATACTATCGTTAATTTTTGCTTTAATGGTTCCAAAATGATATAACAAAACATAATTTCTATGCGCGCTCTTCAAAACGTGCTAAATTTATTATTAAACAAATAGTGAAAAAATGGAAAAAATTCAATTTCTTTCTCTCTTTTTTTTTCAACACAGTTCAAAAACAATTCATTTTAGAGAAAAATTGAAGAGGAAAAAAAGATTCGTAATTAAATTTTATACATAATATACCTATTTTCAAATAAAAAATACAACATAATTATTGCAAACATAGCAAAAACAACAAAAAAAAAGTGAAAAAAAATTACAATATGTTTGTGATTTTTTTTTAAGTACTTATATTATAGGTAAGATCTTCATACTTGGCCAAAAAAATCTTTTTGATATAATAGAACAACAAACCAATTTTCGTTAAAATCGGTCCGATAGTTTTCGAGTAGTAATTTTGCAATCCAGATTTTTTTTTTAAATTGAAATTTTTGCAAATTGAACTGAGCCTAAATTAAGACTTCTAGATACTTGAAAATTTTATTACATAAAAAAGGCCACTTAAACTTTAAAATACGTCCAGAAAAATTGAAATCCGTTAATTAGGAGAGCGGTGGTAATTGTTTAAAGGTATGCGTAATTTTTGCTATTATAAACAAATAGAATAAATCTATAAATTCATTATAATTATTATTTTTTTGTAATTATGCTTTTAAAGTACTTGGGAAGACGTTTCTTTAAAAAAAAAAAAGTGGTGATCCGTTAATTTCAAAGTTGACCGGCATTTGTGACGTAACTACGACTCTGGAGGGTTGTTTTTTAAACAAATACCTTTCTCATTCCGAGTACTTTCCAGGAGTGAATTTGCAAAACTTGTGCCCTTATCCAACCCATATTAAATGTCGATTAAAACAATTGGATCGGGCATGAAATTCACAAAAAAATATATGGGAGGTAGTGCTGATTTTGTTTTTTTTTAAATCGATGTCTCGCCAGCTGAAAAGTCCAAATATCGCATTTTCAAATGTGAATTATTGTTTATTATCGACCTATTAACGTAATGATAATTACTAGTATATACTTTTTAATTTACTTTACTTTTCTCGTATTTTTCTTTATTCTATTAATGAAAATTACTCAAATTTTATATAGTTTTTATCCGTACATTGTATTCAATTTGTTTAAACATTCAAAATTTGTTCAAACAATAANGCCTCAGTAAATATTAAAATAAATAACAGTAATGTAAAGTTAAAGTTAAATTAAAAAATAATTTTCATCAAAATAATTCGTTTAAAGTTAATATGTTCAGTTTTTCTTTATTTACTGCTGTATTTGTCATTATATTAACAAGACTTGTCTGCATTGCATTTAAAACATTGGATGTTATAACTGTTTATGACAAAAAAGTGGCAACGGAGATAAGTAGCACAATAGGTACTCATAAATAATATTCCCTCTAATTTTTTCGCTAACTGCGCGGTACAAAAGTATATGGGAGCAAAAATGTTCTCTAAATTTTACTTTTTTTAGTGAAATTCGGATTTTTGATATATTATATTTTGATCAATAAAAATGTGCCTATAATGCTTTTTTTCTAAGATAATTTGATTTTAAAAATTTATTTATATGTTGTTTGAACAAATTTTGAATACAATGTACAGATAAAAACTATATAAATTTGAGTAATATTCATTAATAGAATAAAGAAAAATATGAGAAAAGTAAAGCAAATTAAAAAGTAGTAATTATCAATATGTTAATAGGTCGATAATTAACAATAATTCGCATTTGAAAATGCGATATATGGATTTTTCAGCTGGCGAGACATCGATTTAAAAAAAAAACATCAAAATCGCACCACTAGAAGCCGAGATAATCAAAATTTTTAAGCACGCCGCTATTTTGAATGCGCAATTTCAATTTCGAGACGGCCGGAGTAGCCGAGCACTCGACCCCCCACAACTACCTCCCATATATTTTTCCTGAATTTCATGCTCGGTCCAATAGTTTTAATCAACATTTTATATGGGTTGCACAAGAACGCAAGTTTCGCAAATTCACTCCCGGAAAGTACTCGGAATGAGAAAGGTATTTGTTTAAAAAACAGCCCTCCAGACCTCGTAGTTACGCCACAAATGCTGGTCAACTTTGATCGACTATAACTCTGGAACCAATTAACGAATCACCACGTTTTTTTTTTTTAAGAAGTGTCTTTCCAAGTACTTTAAAAGCACAATTTAAAAAAATAATTATTATAATGAATTTATAAAGTTATTCTATTTGTCTATAATAGCAAAAATTGCGCATATCTTTAAACAATTACCATGGCTCTCCTAATTAACGGATTTCAATTATTACTCGAAAACTATCAGACCGATTTTAACGAAAATTGGTATGATGTTTTATTACATCAAGAAGATTTTTTTGGCCAAGTATGAATATCCTACCTATAACCTAAGTACTTTAAAAAAATCGCAAAAATATTGTAATTTTTTTTTTTTTTGGTGTTTTAGATTTATACAACACAATTGTAACGTATTGTCAGCTACATGTAGTAAAATACAATTTTTCCTTTCTTTAGAATAGATATTTGATTTTAAATAAATATACGTATATATAATTCTTTTACTCACCGTGCAATGTATAACTACCGCGTTCCTGCTATCCCCCGCCAAATACTGGAAAATATCCTCGCACAGTTGATAAAGCGAATTCAACAGAGGCGCCTTAAAATGTTCGGGATAGGCGAACGAACAATCCACTATCCTCGCCTGTCCGAACTTCCCCTGATAAGGCCTATGTGATAAGTTATATACTGAGTATTTGAAATTTGGATGTCGAGAATCCAAAAACAGTCTTACGTCCTCAATGTGATTAGTTCTATAAGTGGACTCGAATCCCTCCGAAGGAAAAGGCATCACGATAATTCTCGACGTTACGTAACTTATATCTAAGTCAGTTCTGGCCATGGTCCTGAAATAACACGTGAATTACTTCAAATTTCTACGAGGCAGAATGCAATGCAACTCCATGAGAAAACATTTTCCATAAGTGATGCTCATAGAGAATTTTGCTAACATTCGCTGTAGATTAACAGACTTTTATCACATCTTTTTTTTTCAAACATGATTTATTAGCTAAAGAAAAACCTTATTTTTATTGACACTCCATAAAGGGCAGATTACGGCAATGAAAAAATGTTCACGATTATTAATTTTATAAGAAAAAAATTATTACTTACTGTTGCATAGTTGCCATTACTTTAGAACTAGTATCCTTGAGATTTTTCAAGAAACTCCCCGCACCTCCTTTTAGTGACGAAAATAAACCGGACTGCTTAACGTCTGGCTGTTTTTGAGGCGTTGAGATTGTGGGCTTCTGCGGTGGTGGCGCTGGCCTCTGTGGAACCTAAAAAATATTTAAAAAAAACAGCAAATTCATATAATTTAGTTTACAATATTCAAATTTTTTTTATGTCCGTTTAGACCTTGAAATTTAATGTTTACTACTGAAGTGAATTAATGATTAAAATAAACGTATTACTTGTGGAGGCCTAGGGGGTTCCTGAGGGGGTACAGGCCTAGGTGGTGCTTGCTTCAGACCGTTGCTGTAGCCTCCATCTAAATGATTTGAATCTATATCACTTTTCTGTTGAAATATAAGCGGTGCCCTCAGATTGAAACCGTTCGACTCTGCTATCGCAGCCACTCGTTCCAATACGGCAGCAATCGTTAATCTATGTTCGGGATTCGCTTGCAAACAGCCTCCTAAAAAAATTTATTTGTATTACCATTACCGCCTATAATATAACGCCTCCTGTCTGATGAGTCACAATTATGCACCATTCGCTATTTTAAAATTTTTAAACATGCAACATTTCCGTTAGTTCTTGTTTTCAACCTAATTTTACAACAGAAAATTATCACCACTGAAGTGATGTCTATGCAAGGGTCTTACCCACTTTTAACTCTAATTTGCGCGCATAATTTATATCTAAAAAGATAACTACAAATACTTACTAATTATGTCATGGAAACAAAAAAATTTCGAATCCGACGGTAATGTGTAGTTGGCGTTAATAATCCTCAGCTTAGCACTGTCTTCGAAGGGATGTTTCATATAGCAGAGCATGTACAATATGCATCCTAGTGCCCAAATGTCTACTGGGGGCCCTACGTAATAATTGTTCCAGGTGTCTACCATTTCAGGAGCTCTATACATCGGTGTGGTGAATCTTGCCATCTAAAATATTAAACTAATAAAAATATTTGAGTACTTTATTAACTGATGGTATTATTACGTTTTCTTCTAGGCTGGAGTGCTGATTGGCGGACCAGGACAAGTCAGGTCGATAAATATCAGCGGTAGCAGAACCAAAATCGCATAATTTTATAGTACTGTCGCCGCTAATTAGCAAGTTTTCAATCTTCAAATCCCTATGTATAATCGGTGGTACTTGGGAGTGCATATGCGAAACAGCCTTGCACGTTTGATAAAATACTCTTGTGATCGTTTCAATATCTAAAGCTGATGTACGTGCTTGTAAAATTTCAACTAAGGATCCTCCTGTAACAATTTTATTAATATATTTGTTCATCGTACGTTACATAATATATCTACTTTACCTGGACACAAATCAGTAACTAAAAGAAATTCGCTCTGGTTGTGCGAAGTTTGAGATTTATCTATAAATGAAGCCGATAAATACTGTATTATATTAGGATGTCCAGAAACTTTCTTAAGTATATTTATTTCCTTCATAATGTTATTTTTAGCTTCTTCGTCGGCAGCTAGTAGCCTCTGTTAAATGAAACCAAATTAATTTTAATAAATAAATTCTGAAACAAGTGATACCTTTAAAGCATAGTCTTTGCCACTATTAACATCCTGAGCCACAAAGACAACAGCAAAACCACCTAAAAGACACGTATTTTTTGAGAATAATAACAAAAAATCAATATTGAAAAATAACCTTCAGCTATGACTTTTTTAATCCTTAATTTTACGTTTGATACCTCTACAATTTGTCCAACAAAACTATTATCACTTTGTCCGTTCGTAGGACCACTAAAGTATTCAAAAGCAGACTTAAATAATTCACTCATATTTGTTTATTAATTTATTTTACAAAATCATTATTTTTGGCTGGTTTTTTTAGCCACTAAACAAAGCTGTCACAAATTTAGGGATTTTGGGTTAATTTAGCCTCCCACATGTATCATTGCCAATATATTTATAGACTGCGTTTTCCACCAGCTGCACTTTTAGCTTAGATTTTAGTAGATTATTAAAATAGANGCCCTCAGATTGAAACCGTTCGACTCTGCTATCGCAGCCACTCGTTCCAATACGGCAGCAATCGTTAATCTATGTTCGGGATTCGCTTGCAAACAGCCTCCTAAAAAAATTTATTTGTATTACCATTACCGCCTATAATATAACGCCTCCTGTCTGATGAGTCACAATTATGCACCATTCGCTATTTTAAAATTTTTAAACATGCAACATTTCCGTTAGTTCTTGTTTTCAACCTAATTTTACAACAGAAAATTATCACCACTGAAGTGATGTCTATGCAAGGGTCTTACCCACTTTTAACTCTAATTTGCGCGCATAATTTATATCTAAAAAGATAACTACAAATACTTACTAATTATGTCATGGAAACAAAAAAATTTCGAATCCGACGGTAATGTGTAGTTGGCGTTAATAATCCTCAGCTTAGCACTGTCTTCGAAGGGATGTTTCATATAGCAGAGCATGTACAATATGCATCCTAGTGCCCAAATGTCTACTGGGGGCCCTACGTAATAATTGTTCCAGGTGTCTACCATTTCAGGAGCTCTATACATCGGTGTGGTGAATCTTGCCATCTAAAATATTAAACTAATAAAAATATTTGAGTACTTTATTAACTGATGGTATTATTACGTTTTCTTCTAGGCTGGAGTGCTGATTGGCGGACCAGGACAAGTCAGGTCGATAAATATCAGCGGTAGCAGAACCAAAATCGCATAATTTTATAGTACTGTCGCCGCTAATAAGCAAGTTTTCAATCTTCAAATCCCTATGTATAATCGGTGGTACTTGGGAGTGCATATGCGAAACAGCCTTGCACGTTTGATAAAATACTCTTGTGATCGTTTCAACATCTAAAGCCGCTGTACGTGCTTGTAAAATTTCAACTAAGGATCCTCCTGTAATAATTTTGTTAATAAATTAGTTCATGGTACATAACATGATATATCTACTTTACCTGGACACAATTCAGTAACTAATAGAAATTCGCTCTGGTTGTGAGAAGTTTGAGATTTATCTATAAATGAAGCCGATAAATACTGTATTATATTAGGATGTCCAGAAACTTTCTTAAGTATATTTATTTCCTTCATAATGTTATTTTTAGCTTCTTCGTCGGCAGCTAGTAGCCTCTGTTAAATGAAACCAAATTAATTTTAATAAATAAATTCTGAAACAAGTGTTACCTTTAAAGCATAGTCTTTGCCACTATTAACATCCTGAGCCACAAAGACAACAGCAAAACCACCTAAAAGACACGTATTTTTTGAGAATAATAACAAAAAATCAATATTGAAAAATAACCTTCAGCTATGACTTTTTTAATCCTTAATTTTACGTTTGATACCTCTACAATTTGTCCAACAAAACTATTATCACTTTGTCCGTTCGTAGGACCACTAAAGTATTCAAAAGCAGACTTAAATAATTCACTCATATTTGTTTATTAATTTATTTTACAAAATCATTATTTTTGGCTGGTTTTTTTAGCCACTAAACAAAGCTGTCACAAATTTAGGGATTTTGGGTTAATTTAGCCTCCCACATGTATCATTGCCAATATATTTATAGACTGCGTTTTCCACCAGCTGCACTTTTAGCTTAGATTTTAGTAGATTATTAAAATAGAAGTTATTCTACTATTACTGTTTTATATATAAAATTTTCATTATTTTTCCTGTTTATCTTTTAAATACCTAACTATGTAAAAAACTTATTAATACTGATACTACAGCCAATGGAAAATTTCTTATTCACCCCCTCCAATTCATACATTCTATTCATAGAAAATATAGTTCTATATTTTCTATGATTCTATTACAATCTTCGACCATATACTTACTAGAGGCAATCTTCAATGCTAAATGAGCGAACAAACGTGCGAGAGAGAAAGCAAATAAAACTACAAGCTATCTGTCTTCACTCCGTAATGTTAGGTGCTGGAGGGGAATCACGGGGTCTGATTCTCAACCAATAAAAGGGAGTGAAA